TACCACCCCCACCATTGCCAGTGTTTCTTAAAAGAAAAGCCTGAGCCCTCTGAATACATAAATGTAAGCAAGCAAACCAGAAGGAATAATTTGGGCCCTGTGCCTTGTTAGTGCCCCCTTTCCATAGAAAGGTATGCCAGCCATGCAAAGTGTTTTGCTTCTTTGCTGCTTTTGCTTTGTTCCTTCATGGTAGTCTTTTTTTTTTTTTCCCTGAAGACCTTTTCAGATAGCTGATGGCCCACCTACATGAGAGCCAACACGTGTCTTTATGTAAGGTGAGAAAGCAGGTTCAAATACAGACTTCCAGATGTAGTTTCCAAATAAATGGGTCTGTAAGAAGCTTGACTGTCCCCAGGTCCTCAGCACATCTTGCCCCCATTAATAAATTAAAAAATCTTTGATGTCTCCTCTTGTTAATGCAGTTCCCGCTGGAAAAAGTCTTGTTTCTGTGCCCAATCAATTATTTCTCTGAGAGAGTTGCCAGATCACAGGGGCAATGAAAGTATTATGTGTAGCTTGAGCTGTTCTCACTTTCTTTTGATGTTTCAGGTGAAATGGAAAAATGGAGTTGTATCATTTTAGCACTTTTGACATCTCTGTAAGGTAGTTCTTAAGGTATTTGCAAGGTCAAAGTGATAAAGAAACAGTGGGAAACAGTGTAGTTGGTGTTGTCCTACAAGTGTAATAATGCTCCATGCAGTACTTTTTCACAACAATACAAACTATAATCAGGATTATGAAATAGGTTTTTTCCATAATTTCTGTGTTTTTACTTACTTATACTTCTCTAAGTTTATTCTGTCCCCAAGCTTGCAGTGCCATCATTGTCATTCAGTGATGGGCTCAGAGAACCTTTTCCCCTCCTGAAAGTAAAACTCAAACTGTCTCTTTTTTCCCAAGTCTGGAGCTAGACTGAGCTCTGCTGCTGAACTCTGAAGCCTGTGAGGCCCTGCGGTGAGGATTATATGCTTATCTCAATTAAAAAGGATTTAGCAGCATTGGGAGCATACAGAGATTATCTACTGAGCTCATGCAAAAAACTGTGGTAATCTTTGGAAAAGGTGGTTTGGGAGGTTCCTCCCATAAAACCTAGAAACTCAGGACAAGTTCTGGATTTGCTGGTGGTCCTTGTGAAGTACATACAACATGCCTACCTTTATTTGTGTGAAAGCATTTGTCTCACATTCTGCTGTTTTTGTAGAGATCTTGGATGTGGATTTATGATCAATTCAGATTTCCCAGCTACTTAGGTATTACATTCATAGCCACAGGCCTGATAACCAAACTGCTTAGGAAACCCCAGAAAAGAGGTGCATATAGAAATATCAGAATTGGCAAAGTTGTTTAAGATGGTGTTTGTGCCTTTCCCTCTCACAAGATTAAGTTTTATGTCCTTGAAGTATATCTATGTCAGTGATGAAACTAAAGAAACATAGAGACACCAAAAAGCCCCCATCTCTCTAACAACATTAAGAAACATACTTCTATAGTTCAATCCATGTGTTTGTTTTCCTTCTCTTTTCAACTGTATTTTAAAGAACAAAAAAGTCTATGACAGCAAATTATTTTTGCACTGTATTACTTACTGAAGCCAGGGAATTAAAAAAATGTCTAAGGTCATCCATCAAAAGCTGTGAGGTTTAGCTCAGACCACTAGCTGTAGTAACCTCATTGTTTGCACATTTCATATATTTACTCCGACTGTACTCATGGATCGTCTAAATATCATGGCAGTGCTACCTTATAAATTAAGTAAATTGTGAGATTTAAAGGTTAACTGCAATGAATGTTGCTTTTCCTCTTTTAGACAGCATGAACTAAGCATTTTCTACCTGTCTATTTATTTATTTATTTATTTATTTATTTATTTATTTATTTATTTATTTGTATCTGCCAGTTCTTGGTGAGAAACCACAAGGACTGTATGCAACACCTTTTTGTCTGAGAGGAGAAATATTTGAGCAATAGGTTCCCAGTCATCTCTTTTCCTGTTCCCCAAATTTTCACCTTGCATTCTGTGGGAGAGTAGCTGAGACAAGGAGTCTCTAGCATTTCTTTCTGTGGTTGCCACTGGGAGAATAGTCTTCCCTTTCCTGTCAGCTTATGTGTATATTCTTGCCAGCTATTAACGAATATGCCCAAAAGACAAATATAGCTGTAATTAGCAACCCCCGCTAGTCATGACGAGGCTTGCTGTGTGTTGCACACCTGATCCACAAAGATACAGGTCTGTGTTTTACACCTCCTCTCAGGAGACACCCACACGTCCCAAACAAAAACACAAATCAGGATCTGTGGAGGGCTCAGCAGACAAGCTGCCAGAGATCCCAAATTCCTTAGAAGTGATAGCATAGTCCCAGCAAAAAATACATGTCCAGCTCCTTTCCGCTCCCTGCTTCATGCCATCCCACAGGAGAGCCATCCCACAGTCATTTGCTTCAGTCAAAGTGGAATAATTAATTAAGAACTAATTTCTTTTAATGGTTAGGGGCTATAATAACTGGTCACTCTTCTTCCTGCTTTTTGTCAGAAACTGTCTGGTTGTCCATGTCTTCATAGATGTCAGCTAGACAAAAAGGGGATCTTGGCACTAGAAGATCCATTGTTGTGTGGATAGGATTAATGAGTGACAAATAGCATGGTGCAGATATAACTTAACATGCCTGAAAACTGAAAACAAGCCCACGAGCAGCCTGGCATTTCTTGGCAGATACCTTCAGGTATCACCAAGCTGAGTAACTACCTGTGGCCCATCTACCTTCCCCCACCTCCTGTGTTATAAAATGAAAGTAAGTTTTTTGAGCTTTAACTCCAAAGGAGGAAAAAACAAAACAAAACAAAACCACAACCACCCCCCAACAAACAAACAAGAACAAACAAATAAACAAAACCAAAAAGAAACCAGCAGAAAATAGCACAGCCAACTTATACCAGTGTACTTGAATAGGAGAATGAATACTTAAATTTAACTTTTTTGGTATTCCAATTTGGAGAAAAAGTCTCCCCTGTAGTTCTAGTTTGGCCATATTTAGCACTTTGAAATGGCTTTTTCCAGTTAAAAAAGTATTTCCCATATGCTTGACATATTGCTGCATATAATGATGGAATGCAAAGAAAAAAAAATGTTTACGTGCAAAACATATCCCACATGCATATTTATATTAAGAGGCAGAAAAATATTTTATTTATCTATGTATAACTTGACATTTTCAACATTTTGTGTAAATAAATGCCAAATGGAGAATACTGTATTATACATTAGTGGGCTACACTTCTTCAGTTCCATTTTCCAAATCTGGCTATGATTGCACTCAAGTACCTCAAACAGCAAACATCTGGGGGGCTTGAAAACAACTGGAGTGTGATTTTGCTGTAAAACATATTCTTACTGTAAAGTTACAGATTCAAGATTTAGTGTTGAAATTGTTGGTTCTGAGCAGCCTCAGACCGGATTTATAATAAATATGATAATTTTTCAGTATCAGTGGGGACACAGCCTTAATAATATTAATATCTATGGTCTAACAAACTCTTTTATAATTAGGGTACAGTTTAACAGACATATGCATTAAGACTATATCCTTGGAACCTTTCCAAGCAACTGCACTGCCATAGACAAAGCCTTCATCCAACTTACATGTTTGACACTTTGTACAATTGCATGACTATTTTCCATCTCTTACCTCCAGATTTAGGACAATTTATCTCTGATTCTCTTTTGTTTCTAGGTTTCAAAGTGCAATTTCCTGCAGAAATGAATATACTCATAATTCATGTTGTCCACCCACCCACCCAGTTACCTGTCTCAGCTAGCCCAATTGCTGGAAGGAACGTATAAAGCAACTTCATAGCTTGATGCTGAAGCGATATAATCTTTGCTTAATCTACTTAGTGTTTAAAAATGTAAATGTTAGCAGCTATCACAAATACTGAAGCACTGCCCTCATGTAGGTTGTATACCCAAATGTGGCACAAAGCAGTAATTGTACTCTTGTGGGAGACTAAAAGTCTCCCAGTGTCTGAGACCTGGAAAATTGAAAGAGTGGTTTACATCTGCTAGGACCAAAGTGTTGCGACTGTATCTCAAACATTTGCAATTGGAAGCTCTAAAATCCCTAGGGCATATTATGTGCTGTAACAGTATCATTAAATATGTTGTATCAGGCTAACAAAACAATCTGTGCCTCCTTTTCCAGTCTCTTTTTTCACCTTATAAAGATATCCAGTACATGAATATGTAATATTAGCTCTTATTCAAAATTACTTATTTTAAGAAACTAAATAAATTAACATGTGTGTTTGTAACATTGATTGCAGCCTTTCTTTTCCCCAACCATTTTAATGGCAATTCAGATATAAAGTTTGGCTCCTTCATTGTGTTTAACTTGTTAAATCTGCAGTTTGCTTATCAAGAACAAAAAGCAGCTGACGCTTCCCACAGAAGGCACTTCTTGGCTTTCTCAGTGGATCCACAGGAGCCATCAAGGAAAGTGCAGCCCTGGTGTGCTGATTGCCTACACTGCTTACCATCGGTTCACTCCCTGGCTCTGCTTTGGCTCCTCCATCCAGATCTTTCCTAGGCAAACCTGATCTAGTGTGGTCAAGCACTAAGTGGTGTGGACATAAGCCAGGCTACTGATCCCCAGCCCTCTTTCATTTAGTTGTCAAGATGTAGTTCCCAGTTCCTCTGGGAGGATTTCTCAGCAAGCCAAGAACTGTCAGAACTCAGACTTGGCTCCTCATCTTTCACAGATTTTTGTCAATATGGCAAATCCCTCATGCCATTGGTCTTCTCAAAGAGAGGAAAGAGATGTGCAGTAAGGGTGTGTAGCATGTGTGTGTGCGCGCACGTGCACATCTCCCCCTCTGTTTAGATCTCTGGGCATCACTCCCATGTAACCTTTGTTCTGCTTATGAGCCCTTCTGTTCTTATTTTGGCAACACACACAAATATTTACTCGTGTTTGTAAACAATCACCAATTCTATCTTTTCAGGTAAAACATCAAGAGAGCATGGCTCACCTGAGTGAACGTAAATGGACTCATGTGTTCCCTTTCCTGGTGGTAGGTATTTATGTATGTACATGTCTCTCTGGTGTGCAAATATAACAGGGTTCTGCTTGCGTTCTTCACAACCATCTGTGAATCGTCATGGCAGAACCACAGATGACCTAGGGACTGAAGCCTGATGCAGTGATCAGTTTTCATTTAATAAAACACTTGGGCATATGCTGCTTGAACTGTGGCTGCTAGAGAGGAGGGGGAAAGAGGAGGACTCAGGATGGAGCAGAGACAGAAGGCAATGGAAGCACTGATTAGCCTGTGTGTCACATGAAGCACAGCCTTATCATGGTTGAAGCCCAAGGCAGTGCATTATCTTGGGTTGATATAGTTGTCCATTGCAGTCACTTTTATGAAGGCTCATTAGAACTGGGAAGCATGAGGGTGCAAACTCAGACATTTCCTTGTGCAGGAGAGCATGAGAGTTAATAGGTCAGGAACCACAGCTTTCAGTATTTTAATGAGTGGCTGTGCCAACAAGCATGAACATCAGCGCTCTGAGAAGCTCTTAGAGGGACCAGGTTGCTGAAAAATGCATCTTCTTCCATTCCACGTAGTATTACCACTTCTGCTTCTGAGCTTTAGAGGTGTTTCACACTGCAATGCTGGCCCTGCTGTCTGCTAAGCAGCTGGGCAAGGGGAGGGGGTGAGGCATGGATAAGGAAAGCCGTGGAAGTGACAGTGCTCTGGGATGCTCTCTGGTGACAGGTCTCCCTGGTGTACTCTGCCAGTGCTGAATACTCCAACTGCGGCGAGAATGAATACTACAACCAGACCACTGGCATGTGCCATGACTGCCCCAAGTGCGAGCCGGGTGAAGAACCTTACATGGTAATTTCAGCTTCCTCTGCTGGTGGGGGACATATCAAGCACCAAATGTGAAAAACGAATGCTTTGCTACCTGGTGGTAATATATGGATAGGAAAGAAAACGGGGAAGGACAGGGGTGCTTAAGCAGGAGCGCTCACACTTGCAAGTGTGAAGTGGGAGAAAGGCATCATGCATGCATGCCACTAATCCACATCTCAGGAGCAGCCGGTTAAAAGTGATACTGTAAAAGTTGAAAAGTAAAAGTTCCACGCAGAGTCTCTGCCAGTCTGTTCTCTTCTCAACAGTTGTTTAAAATCTGATGCTGCTGTTCTGGCATGGTGTGATAAATTGGTTAGTCTGGCGTGCTTGCTGGCCCCCCACACCAACAATTTAGTTTTGCTCTCCCACTGAGATATTTTGGCACTAGAGGAACTTGGATGTTTCTGCAACATTTTAAATTATAGTTCCTAAGTAACCATTTGATTTACAACAGATAATTGTTGCTTATTAAAAAAAATAAATTCTTGAAATCCTGTTTGGTTTTAATGGGATAAACATCCTAGTGCAAACATTTCACACAGTTGGTAGTCCTGAACAAGGACGTTTGAATAATAACCAGTTGGGTTTAGTTTTATTTAATCTAAACATAATGTTCATCTGAGACATGTGAGTTCAGAGGTTACAGAATCCCATCCAAACATTGCCTTTTGTGATGTTCCCTCTGGGCTCTCCTAGCATGAAAGCTGCTGATAGCCCTACTGCAGCTGTGTTTCTCCTGTAGTAGTCTCCTCTACTCTTCCATTTTCAGTTTGCTTTCTATCTAAGTAGCAGCTGAAAGTCACTTCCACGATTTGCTGGACTATGATAGAAGTAGCTGTGGGGGGCCACTTACAAGGAGTATGATGCTCCAGTTCTCCCTCTCCAGCACGCAGCATGCTGCATCCTTATAGCCCTGCATGGCCTTTTTAGGACAGACATTAATGGGCCCAACGGCAGACTTCTTTCCCTTTGTGCTGCAAAGCCAATGAACCAGGCTCTGAACATTCTCTTTTGCTAGAAGTTGGTGTGCAGCACAAGACTGCTTTTCAGTGACTTTTTGTTGTTGCAGACATGTGGATATGGCACCAAAGACGAGGACTATGGCTGCATCCCCTGCCCTTCAGAGAAGTTTTCCAGAGGAGGTTACCAGATATGCAGACGGCACAAAGACTGTGAGGGTTTTTTTCGAGCCACAGTCATGACACCTGGTGATCAGGAGAATGATGCAGAATGTGGTCCTTGTCTCCCAGGGTAAGGACTTTTCCACAGACCTTTGCTCTACCCAAGGCACTGGAAAATACTTCCTTGATGTCAAAGTCTCTGACAGCCTTTCTTCATGTCCTAGCTGACTGTAGGGGAAATTATGGTGAATTATGCTTTTTTGTCTCTGCTAAACCAATACATTTAAATGTTTCAAAAGCATTGATGAGTTTAATAAATCATAGAATCATAGAATGGTTAGGGTTGGAAGGGACCCTAAAGAAGATGTCGTTAATCTTACTGAAACCTCACTGAAGAAGTAGTTGTTTGGACCAACTAGAAAACTTTTTTCTCTTGCTAGAAGTGGAAAGAGAATAAGCATATGTGTGCAGTGCCATTTTAAATGCTCTAAGAAATCCAGCTTGGACTCAATCCGTAGCTTCAGAGAGCCATCTGCTAAGTCCTACATCCTGCATCCTACAAATGAACTGCATGAAAATGCCTTGGATACCCTGTAGGGTCTATGGAGGCACTGTGGCATGTTTGGGAGCATAAAATATCTTCTCCAGATGTGAGCAGCTGGCACATTTGTCAGTAGTTGACAGCATTAGCTAACATATCTGTTAGGTGAGATTTACCAAGGCATTTTAGTCTCTTAGGGTCCTTTCTAGCCAACAGAAAAGGGTCTAAGGAGCTGCTAATGTGTGGGGGGGTTGCTGTTGTTCAGAGTCAAAACAAGTTTCAGGGCTGACTGAAGGGGCTTAAAATAAATAATGTTTTCTAAGTCCATCTTTGTAATGGTCTCTTATGCTCAGTATAATAATATAATGATAGTAATAGTGAGAAAGATATTGCTACATTGGGTATGTTAGCAGTATATTCTCGTCTGTATTACATTTGAAAGGCTGCAAACCAAAGCATACCTATGCACTCTCAACATTTTTTTTGTAGGGTGAGTAAATACTCTAAAACACAACATCACCTTACATACCTTTTCAGTTTCTACCACTGTGCCACTTTGGTTTAAAGAGTAATTCTGTTGACTTTTGGCTTTTGTGCAGTTTGCAGATACTGTATAACCTACACTGCTTACAGTACAGAGAACCCTGTTAAAGAGGCCCTGCAGTCTTCCAGGTTTATTATATCAGTGAGTCTGTGTGAAATTTTCACAGTTTACAAATAAAATGAAGGACTTGTCTAGCTGCCAGCCAAACAGACTGATGATGTGATTTGAAAAGAGCTCCCTCTTGACTTCCCCTCATACATTATAAAGAGCAAGAAACTTAAATAGTGGCCACAGTTGCTATTTTGCAATTTTTGTCAGGACTGATGAGGTCACCCAGGTGGGAGAAGGGTGCTGGCTGAAAATAATCAGCTTGCACAGCTGGTGCTTGGGGAGAACTCTCAAAGCATCGTGTTTGCACAGGTGTAGCCTGTAGCAGAAACTGGCCTGCCGGAATTTGGCTGTGTGCCACTCCTGTGCAACTCTCAGGTCCCGGGATTGTTTGGCAAAACCAGCAGTTAAGAAGAAACACCTTCTTAGTCCAAGCTTGAATAGATGGAACTCTCAAGATAAACTAAACATGGGCTAAAACCAGCTCTGAACCTGCCCTGACTTCTCGTGCTACTTAGAGTCCTCAGAGTTTGCTCCTTTTGCGAGGGTGGGGGAGATGCAGACCCCCTGTGTCAGAGCAGAGAGCTGGTGAGTAGCTCAGGCTGATCTCGTTACTGCCCCCGGTGTCACAGGGACAGCCAGGCACCAAGGTGAGTGGCAGCTGTCACAGTGCTGCCTTGCCTAGGCAGTAAACCTAAAAGAGCCCCTCAGTCAATATAAGGGGAAAAAATAAGGTTTCCATTTTCAGAGGACTGCTTCCATAACATGCTACTCATCTTCCCGAAGTAACAGCTCACATCTCCATTTAGGGACATCTCATCCCTTTGCTATTTTTCACCAGCTCAGTAAAGCAGTGCGAGGAAAAGATGAACATATGGCACATTCTGAGCGGAAGTTTTCAGACAAAAAACCACTGAACTCGCAGCCTTTTCCAGTGGCTACAAGTGTTGTCCTTTATACTTCATCTTAAAATAAGCGCTGGATAATTATATATTTTCCTTCTATTTTTTTTCACTCTTATTATCAATTTTAGGGAAGAAAGAGACCTTTGGTGCAAGAGAAGGGGTCATCCACTGCCTCTCTGTCTTCCCTCCAATATAAAATAAAAATAGCACTGTCACACATACAAGAAGGATGCAAGACTGTGGCCAGGAAAGATTTTAGCTCTGAAGCTGTGATCCTCAAAACCAAAGTCCAGTTGCCAGTGAACTCTAGAGGTACCTAGACTGAACCTCCTGGGACACTGCAGGCTTTGTTCTCTGCTCCTGCCCAGAAGCTCTTCCATCATGCCAAACAGGACAGGTCAAGAATGTGGAAATTAGGTGTGAGTCAGACTATTTCCCTCAGTGGGGTGATCCATTAGGTGTTCCTGGAGTGTAATTGAGATCACAGCTAACTACAAGCAGCCACAGTGGGTCAGAGCAAGGGTCCCTCTAGCCTGGTCATATGTCTTCTTTCAGTAGTGGCCATTAGTGGAAACCCATGGAGGAGTAAGAACAGGCCAAGTATATAAGATACATATCCCTTATGCTGCCCCAGCACCTATTTTCATCTTGAATTAAGTCCCCAGTCTCCTCACAATGTAGAATTGCAATGGGATAATTTTCTTTTTAAATGTAGTCAGAAATGCCTCTACTACTGAGGCTTCCCCTTTTCATGTGTTCCGTAGTTCCAGCAAATCCACATTCAGTTCTCTTCTCTGAGACATTTTAAGAGAAGCAGTGAACTCTCATTTGTTTTCTGGATGAAAAGGTTTAGTCAGTGAATTTTTAATAAAATAAAGACCCCCCACACACACACACCCCCACACCCCATTGTGAATAAGGCAGCTGGTGCCTCCACCCATGTGCTCACCAACTTCTTGCTGCCTTTCTGCAGACTGTCCCCTGCAGAGAATGGCACTACCCTGCCCCCCTCCACCTCCTGCCCCAGTCCCCGGTGCCCTGGTCCCTGCAGGACAGCAGACCTGACCTGGGTCCAAGTCCCTGAGTGTGACATGGCACCACCAAGGTTAGCCCAAGATAAACCACCAAGCTGTTAAGCAGGAAAATAAGTCCATATTTCAGTCTAGCTTTTAATCTCAGATTTTGTCCGTAACACTTTCAAACCTGAGCCTGGCAGGTGCCAAGGAAAGAAAGAATGAGTCTCATGGTGGAAGACTAATACTGTGAAAATTCATTATTTCATTACTGGGCCACTTCTTCTCCATAGTTATTGACATAAAGGGATCAGATATTTCCAACTCTGCCTTAAATATTTGGTGCATTGGAAAGTAACCTGAAACACAAGTCTGTTGCCAGTGCTTCATGGGGGTGAATCACTAATGTTTGCAGCTGCAGAGTTTCCTACTCAAATGGGTCAACAGTTGCCTGCCATGATCATCCTCTTCGGTTTTCTTTGTATGTGCTCCACCATTCTGCATTGTGTCGAAAACCAAGAATTATTCCACCAGCTTGATTTAATTAACTGTCAGAAGGATTGTTTGTCTTTCCTAAACCACCACAGTTATTAGACTATGGATCCTAACTGTCCTGTATTTTTCTTCATATATTTATATGTATCTTTGGCCTTCCACTCTTTTGTTTTGTGGTTTGGCAATCTTTCCTTCTTATTCATTAGCTGCTTTACAAACTGATATTACATAGGCCCTCATAAGAGAAGAAAGATGAAGTTTTGCTCCTGAGAGAAGGGTAGAGTGGCAGATGGGGCACAAGAGACATTTGTAGGGAGAAGTGAAGGTGCATCTTTTAAAACCAATAAGAAATGAACCATGTTCAGTTCACTGGCTCTCTGAGGTTCCTCCTCTGAGTCCCTGTCTCCCCCTTGCATCTCTGTGTACTCCATTTCCTGGTGCTATATCCCTTATTTGTAGGCTGGATCATTAATTAGTACACCAACTGATTTTGATGAAGTTTCAGCAGTGATTTCCTAACAATACATACATTTCCAGAAAAAAAACCAAAACAAAACTATATTGCACGTACATAGACAGGTACATAAGAGCAGGAAACAAATTCCCCATTGTATAAAGTGTTTGTAATGTTGAGCACCTGTCTACACAGAATGGATTATGAATTTATTCATCTCTTCATTAAGATCTGTAGTGATTTACAAGTGATTTGTAAAGACATATCCATAACATCAACTGTGTGATGTTACATCAATATATGTATGATTCTGATGTAATTTACTCATTAAGGTGCATGTGGATCCAACTCTTGCATAACCAATTACCTTATTCCAACATTAACTTTATTATCAGCCCAGAAGTTCAAATCATGAAGTTCAAATTCCTTCACACTGTAATTCCACTATCAAGGACTAACTTATAAACAATACAGCAAGGAGGTAAAAAATCCCAAACCAAACCTACAAAAGCTAATCTGCTTTGCCTTGTAAGAGTGGTGTTTTCCTGTATTTTTTATTATGATTTGGCTCAGGTTTGGTTCTAACATTATGGAGATTATTCATATGATGTTTGTGAATAAAATCAGCCAACCATATCCAACTGGTGGTCTTGCTTGAAAGATTACTGCTTCAAAAAATAGCATTCCCATATTTTGAAAAATCTCTTTTCAGGGCATGCTGTAAATTGCAGCTTGAATTCAGCAGGGAGAATAATGTTGTTTTGGGCAGTGTTACCACTTCTTGTCATGTCTCGATGTTTGATTAATTACCTTTTAGGAGGAAAGGAAGAATTGTCTCTATTTGGACAACTGAAAAAAAAAAAAAGAAGAAGAATCTTTGTATCACATTGCTTATAAAAGGGGTTTTTTTAATGATTTTATCTCTGTATAATTGGTTGCTGCTGAACCATGCTCAGTTGTAGCATATTAATTTACACTGTTTTGCCTCATCTTGCCCTTCATTGCAGTTACTACATGCTGGAAAACAGACCTCGCAATATCTACGGGATGGTTTGCTACTCGTGCTTGTTGGCACCTCCTAACACCAAGGAATGTAAGTGTTCTGCCATTTCTGTGCATTTCATCTGGTTTTGACTTTAAATCATCTGGTTTTGACTTACAGTCATCTGCAAGCTCAACGTGAAGTCTTTCAGTGATGATTATTATGTTCAAACAATAAGCCCAGCTCCAGTAAAGCAATTTCTTCTTCCAACTGGCCTTGCCAACAAAGGGAGGGAATGCTGATCATTTGAGGAGAGATCAGAACCTTCGATTTAAGACCTGCTGTTGTTCATTTGTGCTCCAGTTTTTGTCTGTTAAGACATCCCATGCAGGACTTACTAGGCTTACTTAACCAGAAGGTACAGGAAATCCTATATCTGTGTATTTTTTTTATTGAGTTTCAGTTCTCTTAAGAAGAAAACATGGGACAATTTGTAGATCAAGTAAAAAGTGCATCTCACCTTTTCGTATCCTTTGGCTTCAAAGTGATTCAAGGGTTGATATTGCTGTGCGGTGGTCAGCACTGATAAGAGTTAATTCTGTAGATTTCATTGACAAAGAACCTGTAGTTTGCTAATTGAAAAAAATCATGTGTGTATGTGTGTGTGACACCCTAGAGGTACCTGTTCCTTTGCATACCATGTGCATGTGTAATGGCTTATCCATCCTTATGCCATGAGGAGGAGGGACAGCCCTGCACCAGCACCGTAATGCAGAGGCAACCCCCCAGAAAACCACTCCTTTAGGGGGCAAAGAAAGTGAGAAAAAGAGAAAAAAAAAGGTTCTCTCTGAATGACCAAATTACTTCCACACCCCCTCAGAGAATCTGGAGAAGATCAGGAGAAAAAGCTTTAAAAAAGATCAAACCAAAAACCCAAACAAACAAAAAAACAGACAAAGCTGAGCAGTTCCCTCGAGAAACCTAATGCATCTAAACCCAAAATCCTGTCCATGTTCTGTTCTTTTAGAAGCCCTTGTCATGAAAAGTAATTGTAATATTTTGCCTGCTTGATTTGAAAGGAGGAGTTGACATGAAAGCCCCTGAGCATTTATTTTTGTGTACATAAATAGCAATTATTTTGTTCAGATGCTGCTGAACTGTGTATCATTGGTGATCTGATGGTCACTTCAAAGGACGATAGGTCATGAACAGCTACCACCTTTCCTAAAGTGCAAGAGCTTGGAGGAGCCAGGGCATAATCACCACCTCACAGAGCTCCTGGTGAGTGGTAGCAGTCTAGAAGGAGATATCTCCCCAAGCTCTCTGCATGCAAAGTGGTGGGTCTGTTGTACAGCTGCTCACCCCACTTGGCTGCAGTAACCCAACCTGTCCTGAGACAGCGGGAGTGGGTGAGGGCAGGGTGAGTGTGATTTTGATGCGATAACATCTGTATTAGGAGGTGAGGTAGGGGTGCCAGGGAGGACCCAGATGTGAGATATGGGAAGAAGGTGGAGAGGTAAGTGAAAACACAAGGGTAGGAATGTCGTGGTTTAACTCCAGCTGACAGTCCAGCCTCACACAGCCACTCACTCCACCCATTGGCTAGGGAAGAGAATCGGAAGGGTAAAAGTGAGAAAACTAATGGGTTGAGACAAAAACAGTCTAATAGGTAAAGCAAAAGCCACGCACATCAGCAATGCAGTACAAGGAATTCATTCCCCACTTCCCACAGGCAGGCAGGTATCCAGCCATCCCCAGGAAAGCAGGGCTACATCACACATAATGGTGAGTTGGGAACACAAACACCATCAGTTTTTGAATGTGCCACCCTTCCTCCTTCTTCCCCTAGCTTTATATGCTGAGCATGACACATATGGTGTGGGATGTCCCTCAGGTCAGTTGGGATCAACTGTCCTGGCTCCTTGTGTACACCCAGCCCACTCACTGGTGGGATGGGGTAAGAGGCAGAAAAGGTGCTGTGGAAGTGCTGCTGAGCCATGATGAAAGCATCCCTGAATTATCAACACCTTTTTGGTCACAAATCCAAACCACAGCCCCATACTAGCTACTATTAAGAAAATTATCTGTATCCCAGCCAAACCCAGCACAGGGAGTCTTGGTGGGAGTTGAGGGTATATGGTAAGAGGATGCAGATGCACCTGGCTGCCCCATTGGTGGGAACAGAACCCTGCCTGCTGCTAGCCCATAGCTGGGAATTACTCTCTTCCTCAGCTCTGATGGTCTCTCTCAAACACATTCTGAAATGGGGTTTTACTAGTATTAGACATGTTGTAACTTAATGATTTGGCAAGGAAGTACCTGAAGATTTATGGCTATTACTCAATTAAAAAAAAAAATCTTTGTCTTTTGTAGGATATCTGACAGATATGATATGTGATGTGCTTCTGTAAGGAAAGATGAATGGCACAACTGATTAACCACATGCAATTTTTAGCTTGACAAACACAGAATAAATATATATTATCTTTAGGAGGAATTTAGGCAGGTGCATAAACTGACAAATTGACTGGGTATTGAGGTAGAAGAAAACATTAGGAATAGAAAGACTAAAGATTTCCATTTTAATCAACTCCATGAAACCAACCATTTGATTACAAGTGTTAAAAAAGCCGGAAAGCGTCTTAAAATCCAAATCTCTCAAATCACTAAACTCAGGTAATTTGGCTTATGATGTCTAAACCTCTGGATCCCGTTTGGAATGGCAGCTTCCCAATTCATAGCTATTAATTTGTACTCCAGATGGAAAATCAGCCTTGCTGCAGGAACCTCTTGAACAGCTCACTTTTTGCTGTGGCAAGCAGTGTAAAATCTGGTATTAGTAGATGGTCTTTTTCACACATTTCACTGTCATCAGATTATAGCAGTCAGAGCAAAGAAGAGGTGACATGTCAGTAATGCACAGCTGTGGAATTTTCTGAGTTTTGCAAATTCCAAACTCATGTTACGTGCGCTTTGAGCACATAACCTTAACACAAGCACATGGTTTCTGTCATATTCCTACCAGCTTTTTGGTAGGAATAGTTCCTTTGTGCAGAATGACCTCTGCTTGTTGACTGGCTGTCATGATAGAGGAACCAGAATGAAAACTCAAAATGGCCCAGGAATCTTCTGTTCCTTTCTTGAGAGTTCAGAATAGCATTGAACAGCATTTGGGAGCTTAAACCCCAAACTAAAGGGTTGCCTCTCCCCCAGAGATCTTATTCTTCAGACACTGCTGCGTACAGCACACCACTGGAGAAAGATGACCCAGTGGGTCACAAGGAAATGAGAATGGCAAATTACTTAAAAATAGGAAGCTTAGGGTGACAAGCTCTGGCTTTGCACTTCTAGACAGAAAAATGAGGGCAGATAAATCCTGTTTCAGGCCTTTGTTAGTGCTGGAGAACAGTGGTGAAAACATTCCTTGCTGGGGAAGTGCCTGGTCTGTGTGTTACAGAGGGCCAGCTCTGGGGGGTGCGTACCCTTGCATGGAAACTTCCTCAGAGAATTTGCCTGGTGATACATTTTATCTGGCAAAAAAAGTATTTGGGTTTGATCAAGGGGTAAAAAAATGTCTTTTAACTCCAAGAGAGTGCTGTGCAACTTTCATCTCATATACAGTCAGTAAAACTTGAAATGGCAGAGGAAACAAGGTGAACACTCCATGCCCCAGCATCTGGAAATATTAGTGAAAAAATGACTGGGAATGAGAAAGAAATTCCTTGATGGACCTGTGTCACCTTTTTTTTTTTTTTTTTGAGACATAAGTAGCACAAAATAGCATGGAAAGGAGGGGAAGGAAAGGGAGATACTTCTCAGAGGTGAGAGGTTTAATTGAGGCACTGGATTGAAGGATGGGAGCAACAGTTCTGCGGCCTGGGAGGAATAACAGGCTTCAACAGCAGCTTGTGGGCACTGGGCACTGGGCACATACAGGGAAGAGGCTGTGCATATATAAGCATAAGGATGTGTGTTGTGGAGCAGGAAAACTTTTTCTTACTGGGAAAAAGGTAAACGTCACCATAAAGACTACAGTTTTTCCTATCTTGTGCACTGTGAAACACCTGTGAGATTTCTGGCCTCTCAGCATACAGTTCCCTCAAGTCTCCTGTGTAGGAACCTCCATGCTAAGCACAGAGGAGCACAATGCCAAAATGTCAAAGGTGCGAGACCTTCAGCTGTGCATGAAGCAGATCATGAGCCATCAGTTCCCCTTGCTGACACTAAATTGGGATATGATACCTTTGTGATAAATAAAAGCACTGCAAGAGGCAGGGGAGGCAGCTTTCCCATGCAAATCAAAGAATTAAGGTAATGAGCACCAAACCACTCTAAGATGTGGCTTCCCATAGTTAATGGTGCTGAATTGTCTGTCAGCACCTCTGGAATTGGAGTCACTTCAGGCCGCTGACTATGTAGGGTGTTTTTGATTTGGTTTTTTTTTTCTTTTATCCAGTGTAAAAGCATATGTAAAAGACAGAAGGTTTAGCCATACACGAAGTTTCTCTGGCAGAGAGGTAGTTACTGCTGGAAGAGATTTTGTCTTTTAGCAGCAGAAACTCTCAATGAGTTTATGTATATTAACTCCCTCTTTCTTTTCAAACTTTAATATCTGCCACTTCAGTTCAAAAATGCTGAAGGAAAACAAAATCAAACCCTGTTATAAAAACTTTAAGAACATTTTTTTTGAAGTTGGATTTACACAATTACATCAAATATGCCAATTTTTTTGCATTTACAGATCTAAGGAACTTCAGCAATTGATTAAGGTTTTTTTTTTAATCTACTGCATATATTCATAAGTGTGTATGGGCATAAAATACTCTATGTTGGTTTATTTCACCGTTTTTGCTGGTTTCATATATGAAAACAGATACAATTACAAACCTGTGTAAGTTTTTAAGTCTCACACCTACCAATGATGACTTGGGAAAATTAAAAAAAAAGGAAGAAGAAAAAAAGAAAAACAATAGAGGAAAACATATGGTCAAGTTATTTTTTAATTACCAGAGAGCAAATGACATCTAGAAAAAAAAAGGTAATTTTTATTCTTGAATCATTAGAACTTCAAAAATAACTAAACAATTGATGGCTTTATGTGATGAACTGTA